AATTATTAAACCTACAACAAGGTCTCTTTAGGATCTCCAAATTTGCCTGAAGGGGTTAAAAAAAAAAAAAAAGATTGTGACACAGTTTTTTTGCTCACTTAGTATCAGAAATACCCTTGCTATTCTATCATTTATGGTAACTGGAAATTTTATTCTGTCATTTTTTTCTACAAATACACAGGGGAATCCGTACCAGAGTACCAGATGGCTTTTCAGACAGAGGTTGGAAACCATCCCACTTTCGAGGATATGCAGGTTCTTGTGTCTAGAGAAAAACAGAGACCCAAGTTCCCAGAAGCCTGGAAAGAAAATAGCCTGGTAAGAAAAGACTAAGTTATTAAAGAGAAGACTTATGACTGAATATATTTTAATGTTGTTTGAGGCAAAAATAGATAATGTTAATTGTTTTTGGAGTTGCCTAATGCCAGAAATCCAACTTGATTTTTATGATGCTATACATTTTCAAATTTTTCAATATGAAAAAAGTCACAGTTTTTGGTTCCGTTTTGTTTTTCTCCAAGCATAAAATACTATTTAGAGAGAATAACTAATGTTTCTTAAGTTTGCCAGATTGAATAACAGCTGGATTAATTAACATATTAATATTTTAGTCATTATTGAAATTTCTTCTTATTCTCTTGAGAATAATACCAAAAATGTTAAGTAGTACAGGCATACATAATCAGTGGCTAATGAAAATTTAGGCTAGACCTGAAGAAAACCAAGGTGTAACCTATGAATTCTGCTTATTAAAAATATAATTCACAACAATGAAATATCTTCAGAGGCTCCTGCCATTTGAGTAAGTTGTTGTTACATCACTGAAAACATCTTACAAATTCACATATATACACTCATATAATTTTTAAACATAAATAGGATCATCTAATTATCCACTATCACTTCTGAAGCTTATTTCTTAAAGACTTTTTTTAATGTCAGTACCTCTAGATGTATATGTTTCTCTCCATTTGGTCAGTATTCTATTGATAAAATCATATAATCATCCTATTGAATGATATATCATAATTATTATATTAAAAGGGGAAAAACTACCTCTTTCTACTATCGCTCTCCATAAGTAACTCCCTTTAGTAATCTTTTTTTTCTCTTCCAAAGATTACCATTATAACTTCAAATACTCTATTCTTAAGTTATCTCTCATTTACTGTCTCCCAGTTTGTAATATTCTATTATTAAATGATATATGTTTTGTCTGTAAATTCATCTAATATTTAAACAAAATAATGAGAAATTTGTAGAATTATGATTATAAAAGCACTCACTGCACAACAAAGTATTGTGCTTGGATTTATAAGGAATAAAAATTCTATATTAGTTACTAAAATCTCCCCTGCTGCTTTGGGGAGAGTGTTTCAAGTTATCATCCATCACTTGAGCCCAGGAGTTTGAGGCTGCAGTGAGCTATGATCACACCACTGCCCTCCAGCCTGAGCAAGACCCTGTCTCCTTAAAAAAAATATGATCAAGTCCCAGCTGTTCAGGAGGCTAAGGCAGAATTGCTTGAATCCAGGAAGTAGAGGTTGCAGTGAGCTGAGATCACCCCACTGCACTCCAGCCTGGGTGGCAGAACGAGACTGCATCTAAAAAAAAAAGGTGCATTGGCTTGTCGTGCCTGTAATCCCAACACTTTGGGAGGCTGAGGTGGGTGGATCATGAGGTCAGGAGTTCAAGACTAGCCTGACCAACATGATGAAACCCGTCTCTACTAAAAATATAAAAATTAGCAAGGCATGGTGGTAGGCGCCTGTAATCCCAGCTACTCAGGAGACTGAGGCAGGAGAATCGTTTGAACCTGAATGTGGAGGTTGCAGTGTGCTCAGATTGCGCCACTGCACTCTAGCCTAGGCAACAGAGCGAGATTATATCTCAAAAAAAAAAAAAAAAAAAATTGCCTGCATGCGGTGGCTCACACCTGTAATTCCAGCACTTTGGGAGGCTGAGGTGGGCGGATCACGAGGTCAAGAGATTGAGACCATCCTGGCCAACATGGTGAAACCCCGTCTCTACTAAAAAAATACAAAAATTAGCTGGTCATGGTGGCATGCACCTGTAGTCCCAGCTACTCAGGAGGCTGAAGCAGGAGAATTGCTTGAACCCGGGAGGCAGAGGTTGCAGTGAGCCAAGATCGTGCCACTGCACTTCAGCCTGGTGCCCGGCGACAGGAGGAGACTCTGTCTCAAAAAAGAAAAAGTCGTCATCAAATGATTTCTTTTTTATTTCTTGTCATCTTTCTTTTTCTTGTTTTTAGGTTCTACTCAGGAGCAACATTAAAAATCTCATGTCATTCTCTTTCCTTAAATGATTATTTCTTTGATGAAGTTCCTCCTTAAGTAATATGTATTAGTATGTGGATGGTGGTAAACATTATGAATCCTTGCATGTTTAAAAATGTTTTTATCTTGCCCTCACACTCATGTAATAATTTGGCTGGATAATAGTTTCAGTATCAAAATTGTTTTGCTCACAACTTTGAAACTACTACTCCATCATTCTCTAGCGTACAATCTCCGTGTGTTCTAGGCTCTAGTCTCCAGTCTATTGAGAATTTCAGTGCCGTCCTGAGTCATTCCATTGCATTTTTTTGTTATATTTTTGTTTTATCCTCTTAATTTTTTTTCTCTATAAGCTTTTAAGACTTTATCACGAGAATTGTGAAATTTCACCTTGATGTATGTAGGCATGGATCTTTTCACACACTTTGGCTTGGCACTGGATAGGTTTTCAGTTTGAAAATTCAGAGGAATTTTATTTTTTCTCTCTCTCTCTTTTGTTTTTTTGAGACAGAATTGCTCTATTGCTCTATTGCTCTGGCTAGAGTATAGTGGTGTGATCATGGCTCACTGCAGCCTTGAACTCCTTGGCTTAAGCTATTCTTCTTTAGCCTCCTGAGTAGCTGAGACTTCATATGAATACCACTGTGCCTGGCTTTCTTTATTTTTTGTAGAGACAGGGTCTTGCTGTGTTTCCCAGGCTGGTCTCAAACTCCTGAATTCAAGCAAGTCCTCCTACCTCATCTTCTCAAAGTGCTAAGATTACAGGCATGAGCCATCATGCCTGGCCTCGTATTATTTTTTAAATTATCTCTTAAACTTTCAATTCCTCCTCCTGGAATTCCCAGTAGACAAATATCGTACCACCTGACGTTCTAGGAATCAATTTTTTCTTGTGTTTTCCACTTTTTCCTCCCCTCTGTTTTCCTTTTCTTTCCTTTTTTTGGAGACATTTTCTTGCCCTGTTGCCCAGGCTGGAGTGCAGTGGCAGGATCTCAGCTCACTGCAAGCCTCAGCCTCTCAAGTAGTTTGTATTTTTAGTAGAGATGGGGTTTCACCACGTTGACCGGGCCGGTCTTAAACTCCTGATCTCAAGTGATCCACCCAACCCAGCCTCCCAAAGTACTGGGATTACAGGCATGAGCCAGCACACCTGGCCTCCCCTACTACATTTTTCAAGATTTACCCAGCTTTACCTTCAAATGACTCATTTAGTTTTTACTTTTCTTATATCAGTTATCTATTAATTAAAGTTTTAGCTTCTACAATCACGTTTATATTTCCAGAAACTCTTGTTTGCCTTTTCCATAGCAATCTGTTCTTATTTTCAATATGTAATAAAAGTGATTCATTCTGAAGGTGTTATTATTAACAAATTAATTTTCTTGGCTATAAAGAACAAAAAGTGAAAAAATAAGTAACTTAAATGTTTTTACTATATATTTTCACATTTCAATTTTAGATTGTCTTAGTAGAACTAGAATAGTATTTCCATTTTGGATCCTGACTTAAGTGGAGTGATGTCATGTCAGAGAAAGGCTAGAGAGACATTATATGTTTCCATACAGATTTAGAATGAGCACTGTCTTCATTGGTTATATTTGTCAGTAGGTTACTTTCAAGTTCGGCTTCTGTTTGAGTCAGATTGAAATCTTCTTTGAGTATGTGGCAATTGAAGAGCATGTTGTCAAGCACATATGTCCAAAATTGCTTCCAAACTACAGTCCCTGCTATGGGAACTGAGACAGATCTTTAAGAGGTCTCTGACAGCAGGTGAGAGGCTGAATACTAGAATTCATCAGAGGTGCCAGTCTCACAATAGAGTATTCCTAAAAGAAAATCTGTTTGCAAAATTTTATTCTGGTAAAATACAACCTCATCTTCCTTAAATTGTTTTATTTCACCGGTAAAAATGGGAACTATTATTTTGAAATACCTCTTGGCAACCCTATTGTTATGGGATATGCATCATATGCATATTTACCTGAAAACTTTTTACTTCCAGTATGGAGTAGGTTGCCAAGTAAGGGATTCATAATACTTGGTTCACTTCCAGTGAATCCATTTAATTCTAATGTGCTACAGTCAGTAAACTGCTTCTCTGAAGTGACAGTCCAATGCTAGAGTTAGGTAGCAAGTACATAGTTTATAAAAAGAGAGAAATGCAGCTATGTTTAAAGAAGGCATTATTGCTTTCATAGTTGCACTGAGATGAAGAAACATTCTTTTAGTAGTAAAACTCAAAATCTTTCAAATATTAATGAATATAAAAACTAGTTTTATTTTATAAACTGCCAGGGACTCAAACATAGATTAGTCAATAAAGAGGGGAAGAATAGTTTCCTAATAAAAATGAAAGCATAGAAAATAGTCTAAAGGAATACATGAAAATGTTAAACCCTAGTTATCTCTGAATATTGGGTTCATAAATGACTTTTTCTTTTTTTTTATTTGTTTTTTTCCCTTTTTTCTTCATTTCATAAATGACTTTTTATTCCTATATGTTTCAGAATTTACAGTAAAAATGAACTGCTTTAACAATCACATACACACAGTTGTTTGTTTGTTCTTTTGAGACAGAGTCTCCCTCTCTCACCCAGGCTGGAGTGCAGTGGCGCAGTCTCAGCTCACTGTAACCTTTGCCTGCCAGGTTCAAGCGATTCTTCTGCCTCACCCCTCTGAGTAGCTGGAACTACAAGTGCGAGTAACCACGCTCGGCTAATTTTTGTATTTTTAATAGAGATGGAGTTTCACTATGTTGTCCAGACTGATCTCGAACTCCTGAACTCGTGATCCTGCCGCCTTGGCCTCCCAAAGTGCTCCAATTACGGGCGTGAGCCACCGCACCTGGCCAGTTTTGGTTTTTTGTTTATTTGTGTTTTGTAGAGACAGAGTCTCACTATGTTGCCAAGACTGGTCTTAAATTCCTGGCCATAAGCAATCCTTCTAGGTTGGCCTCCCAGAGTGCCAGGATTGTAGTCATGAGCCAACATGCCTGGCCCCCACATACAGTTTAAGGCTTTT